CTGCGACCTTGTCTGCAACAACAGAAACTTCTAAGCAGCAATCTAGGAATGCTCTGATCTTCTTGGCACGCTTGAAAACACCTCCCAGCCATGGATAAAAAAGAATCCCTCTGCAAACAGCACCCATGCGCGCTTAAATGCTAAACAGACTCGACTTCAGTGGGGTTAAATGCTATTTCAGCCCATGCTGATTCTGTCCCACCATGGACAAAGGTTGCTGATGTGAAAGCAGAAAGTTCAAACAGTCGTCCTCTCGCCGTCGCCACAGTGTGCTCAAGGCTTTCCAAAAACCTCCCATCATCCATTTCCGCTGGGTATTGCGCCAGGAGCGGGGGGTGAGGTTCCTAGAGAGCACAACTGAGCAAACAACGTGGCCACAACACACAAATCCACCAGGGATTAACTTATTTCTACCCCAGGAGCTTGTTCAGGAATGGTGCAATTCTCCCGAGCAGCAGCTTTTACAGCTGTAGGCCAGAGATGCCTGGGGGGCTGCAGAAGGAGACTAAGCAAGCCCATTATCCGAAGACTTACATTTACTATAAAGGGGTTGAAAGTTCCACTGAAAAAACATGGAGAGATCTACGTATCAAACAATATCACAATATAGGCCCCTATTCTACACACAGTCTTAAAAAAACCAGCACAAGCGGATCCTCTAAAGGAAGGGCGAAACGTTGCCGTGACTTACACCCATGCAATACAGCGTTGGCCCATTTCCAAGGGGCAGAGGCACCCTCTCGCACTGCACAAGACCCCAGTCTCCTTCCCACCCCTCCTTCCCGCCTCAGTCCTTCTTTCCAGCCTTCCAGCACTGACAACCAAGGATATTCTTTCCAGCACCCAATTTTTTCCCTAACCTGCGGGGTACACGAGGCTGGAGCTCAAGGCAGTGAGTGCTGCTGTGGGAGTTTTCTGGCCCTTTCCAGTACGGCTTGGGGAGCCCAGGGAAGAGCTAGGTCCCACAGAGATGAAGATCTTCAGTGATCTGGAGTGAGGAGAAGGCCACCTGGACCTTGGCGGGCAGCCGTGGATGGGAACAGCATGGCTCTTGCCCCATTCCAGTGCACCGTGATTACCAGCAGTGGCTACAGCTCATACAGCCCTAAAATGTTTGGGGGCCAGCGTTACCGAAAGCTGCCTCTCTCCGGGGCACCAAGTCAAACGCGAGGCCTGCAGACGTTCCTCCTTGCCGCTGTCGCGCACTGGCAGCCACGCAGCTCCAGGCAGGCGCTTGTCGCTGTTTGTGGGGATTTAAAACCTGTTCCTGCGCAGCAGGGAATGGAGACCTATGGAGCTATTTAAGAGACACGTCCATAAAATAAAGGCAATGGATGCCAGAGGGGAAAACCAGCCTGGAACAGGCATGGCCTCCTTTCCACCTTTTCCTCGCCAACCAAAAATGCCAGGCGAAACTCCCGCTGCCCTCATCAACATCCCTCTATGTTCCCACCATGCCTGTGCTTTCCACGGGCCCGCATTCGCCCCACGCACTGCCGAGGGTTTACGCTCCTTGCGCCCACGCTGACGCCTACAACGAAGCGTGTCAGTGCTCAGCAGAAGTGGCAGAGCGCCACGGACGCAGCGCCTGCCCGGGCACATGCAGAGATCTTGACTGACCCCCTGGTATTTCTGTAGCCAGGTTGAGCTGACGGGAGATGCGCCAGGACACAGGAGGGGAGCTCCCTCCGGAGAGGGGAGGGTGCGAGACATTTTGTTGGGCTGCAGATGAAGTTTAAGGTGAAGTCTGGGCTCAGCAACAGATGGCGTGTGCTATGAGCTGTGTCTGGCCTCAGCAGCGCTCTGAGAACTGTAGCATGCCATGAGTTGTGCCTGGCCTCAGCACTGCTCTGAGAGAACTGTAGCATGCCATGAGCTGTGCCTGGCCTCAGCGTGCGATGAGCTACGCCGGTCCTTCAACAACAAACAAACGAAGGGATGTAGCATGCCATGAGCTGCGTCTGGCCTCAGCAGCGCTCTGATGAAACTGTAGCATGCCATGAGCTGTGCCTGGCCTCAGCAGTGCTCTGAGAGAACCGTAGCATGCCATGAGCTGTGCCTGGCCTCAGCAGTGCTCTGAGAGAACCGTAGCATGCCATGAGCTGTGCCTGGCCTCAGCAGTGCTCTGAGAGAACCGTAGCATGCCATGAGCTGTGCCTGGCCTCAGCAGTGCTCTGAGAGAACCGTAGCGGGCTCTGCGAGACCCGTCGCGTGCCAGGAGCTGTGCCTGGCCTCAGCAGCGCTCTGAGGGAACCGTAGCATGCCATGAGCTGTGCCTGGCCTCAGCAGCGCTCTGAGGGAACCGTAGCATGCCATGAGCTGTGCCTGGCCTCAGCAGTAGCTGACAGAACCGTGACACGCCACGAGCTCTGTCAGGTGCCGGCTGGGACCTCCTCTCCAGAGCTCCCCTGTGCAGCGAGGGCCATGGGACGCCTGCATGGAGCCCCAGTAGCAGCCAGCGATCTGGGCCAATACACAGCAGGGACCCGGACAAAAATAAAACCGCTCCCGGGGGAAGAGAAGGCGCGGCGGGCGGGTGCGATGAGCTACGCCGGTCCTCAGCACCAGGCCCTGCCCTGGCGGGCCCATCGCCCCCCAGGAAGCGAAAAAAGTCCCAACGGAGAGAGGGAGAAGGCCGGGGGAGAGCGAAAGAGAGCGCAGGCAGCGGCAGGCGACTATTGGCTGTCGCCGCCGTCCATCCCAGCTCCA